TTAGTGTGACGGGCCAAGATTTTCGGCCAGTGCGCGAAAGCAGTGCCACGATAAGATTTTTATATTATCTGTGGGGAATTCAGAAGGGGGTTGCTGCGGCTCTTTATAAGTACACTGCCTGTTTCAGATCTCCCGGCCCTTTATACGTGACCTGATAAAACTCCTGTCAATGAAATAGACTCGGTCAGGATGTTTGAGAAAAGAAGTTCTTGTGCGTGTCTCTCGAGCTATGTCTCATCTCTACGTATGTACATCAAATTCCCAAACTCTGATCTCACCCTTTGTCCCAAATCTAGACTACTTGACTTTTGAATGTTTTGACAATGCCGACCCCATATTATGAGCTGATGACATTAAATCTTTTTCATCCGAGTTACCAAAGCTAACTCGGCCTCCGGTCAATACATTCTCCCTTCCCGGCTTTCCACCATCTCCGATATATAACTCAAGTGTATACCACCTTGCAAATTCACCAGAATAAATAGACATAAATTCACTAACATGTAACCCAAACAGAATAAGATTCTGGTCAACAACTTCCGTGTAGTGAGTAAGTTTACAAACTCGCTTGCGCCTACAAGATGAGGATGGGTCCTATAGTCTTAAACAGCCCAGCCATAACCAACCGGGCCTAGCCTATTAAACTTCGTTCGTAGCTGGTAATAATTATCGGCTAATAATATAATCAAATTTCATGGAAATTATGATTGTGGAGCGGAAGTTATTTCCTATGACTAGTCGTCACTAATACCATGCCATTCTTGCTCATACCCTATATCATGCGCATCACAGAGTTCCAATGTGCCACTTCTCTCTAGGTGTTGACTTCCTTTTTTACCTCTCGAAATCTGCGTTTGGGTCTCAACTCTGACCGCTTCATCACGTACAAGCCCAGCGACAAAGAAACCTGTTGTACCATACTCATCGTCTTTATTGGCTCGAATGCAGGCTGAACTGAGCTCTTCATTGTTTCTGCACGCATTATGGCATCCTCGCACAGGCCAGTTCCGCATACCGCGAACCTGTTCGCTTCGCTTAAGAATTCTCCATCCCCTGCTTTTCGCATCAGGATGTTCTAGGGCTTTCATTATGATAAGTTCATTCTCCTGCGCATATATAGAGCACGTCGAGTATGTTATCTTATGTGCAGCTGGAAATTTAAATGCATGAATAAGAAGTTCGAGTTGAAATTTGGAAAGGGCATTTAGTCTAGCCTCAAGCTCTTCTTCAGAGTCGGGCACTGTTATACTCCCATTGTCATCGACAATAGCTTGTACCTCTGATTCCTCACGTTTTCGCTTCAAATTTGATTTACCCGCTTCGGGGGCTTTTGAAATCTTGCTCTGACTGCTTGATTTTCTGGTTGAAGGAATTGGATTAATGAGTGGAATGTGCAGTTTTGGCATCTCGTCTCGGCCTGTTATTCCGCTCCCAGAGCAGCTGGGGTCCAGTAAAAGGGCACCAACGTTTTGAAATCTTGGAAGATTCGGGTCTATTTTCAAGAAGTCTTCTCCAGAGTGAATCTTAGTCCAAGAACTTGAGCCGGCCAAGCCAATCATTTTTTCCAGTATTTCCCCCCTAGCTTTACTCTTCTCGAAGGCATGAATTATCTGTGAGCAGTCGGTCCCTCTGGGTTCATGCGACGATAGAATAGCTGCAATGTGAGTTGTCTTATTTCCAGGTGCAGAGCAGGTGTCTATGATATCACCATCTGTGGGCAAAGGGTCTAGTAAATATGCAGGGAAGCAAGAAGCTTTATTTTGAAAAATGATGGCTCCTGATTTGTATGCATCGCTCTTCACTACATCAAAGCCCGGTGATAGCGCGACCAAATTCGGTATATGATCATCAATGAAGAGTAGTTTTTGGCCTCTCTCGCTTAATTCCTGAACCCGAAGTACACGTTTGTAACCCGAAAAAGTTGTATCTAGCTGATCCTCGAGGCAGCTCTTAAGGGTGTTAATTCGGACCCACCTCGGGCGTATTGCTTCGAAACTACTGCTTTCGGTGTTTAATCCAGCTTCTACAAATTCTCTGAAAGCCTCGAGCGATACTAACTTTCGACGAACCCTTGCTCTGATAAACTCAGCTTGGAGCCTGGCTCTATGTCTTTCTACGGCCTTTCGTAAACCATGCGAAGTCGGTAAAGCAATGCCACCTTTTGCTAAGAGAAGGTCGTGCACCAAGAAAAGTGAGAGAGTCGGAGTGACCTGAAATGGCTCGTTAATGACATAAGAGAGCTCCACGCAGACGAGTTGATTCGAGATGCCCTGCAGTATCTTGACCCACCTTCCGTTCTATTTTCAAAAAATTGGCATTTTCAATGACTTCTCGAAGGACAGAGCTCCATTTGCACGTCTGCACTGCCAAAGCGTATATTTGTGCTGGGGGTGCTTTCAAAGCAGGGTTTTTGAAGATTTGTGATCGTAGGCTGCCAGACGTGCTAGGATTGGCAAAAAGGCTGGCAGCCTCATAATAAAGCGACATAATTTCCAAGTGGATCTACTGAAGTATCTGGTGGTGCGTCGCGCGTAAAACAGGATATGCTGAGCAAGCAATCTGGAATAGCCAAGACTTCGTCAACGACTGTCGTGGCAAGAGGTAAGAATTTTTTTACGTGACATGTATTAAGCTTCAAGCTCACGGAAGGATAATGGTTTACGCCAACTTGATTCGATCTGCCTGAATCCGTCAAAATTACCAGCTTCTAGCGAAAATATTCAGTTGGAGCTAGCCTTGCATGGTCGAATATCCTATGCGAGTTTATGTGAGACAGTAAATTTCCCGATTCAGCACGTGAGCAACTACACGCACTCGAACAGGATGTTTCCGATTGTGACAAGAAACTCTTTTCTATTATCTTCAAATCACGTCATCTGCGGGAGAAGTCTGGCACTGGCTTAATATACACGTAAACCTATGGACGAGATAATTCATTTTCGCGCAAATTGAGCTATGGAGATAAGATCAGCCATTTATTTCTTTGCTAGTGTGTATGTGTGTTTTTATTGCACTACTTGAGTTTATGACTATCTAGCACATTGGGCTCCTCTATGGCTCAGTCCACACCTTTTACAGTGCTTCTCGCCTCTTTGGTTACTTGTAAGATCATTGACATATTGCCCGTGATGAATAGTCAATAAGCTCAGTGTTTACCCGTGGGATTCAGCCACCTTTTTCACGGAACCTTGTACCCAAAAAAATGAACAAATATGTTATCTTGGAAACTGCGTGCGCGGGAAAAAGTCTCAAAAACCTTCAGCCCCAGCCATGCGAGGCTTAGACACCAAGGCCACATCCGTTGCGCATATTCATCTATATCTCCCTTCTTTGTAACAGTAGAGGCCATCTTGATCCAATCCACCATTTCTAAAATCTGATCTGATCGTAGTTAGCTTCATGATAATGGTGATGGGGGAATGTGTTGAGAGATGAAGACGATACAGACCGCGAAAGCGATTGGGAATCCTCGTCGAAGCGAGGACATTGTTATTCAATCTCGGCTCTGCAGACTCTACAGTGAGAGCTGGAGGTTCGTAGGGGACACCACTGACAGGTGTTGAGAATAGTCCCCCTGGCGTCCGTGTAATAGACGCGGTGGACTGGAATTGAGTCGGTTTAGGTTTACATCTTGGCTACAACATGTTTGGATTGTGTCCTGTGATGTAAGGAAGCTATTTCTAGATATTATCATCTTACGTCAGGTAGTAGATATGTGTAGATATATAAGCTGAGAGATAGAGGAAGGAAGACAGACAGACAGACAATTACATCTTTTTACTTACTTCAATTGAAAGCTCCTGTGCGAGCTATTCTTCCAGATACCTCTAGTCTCAATCATTACAGCTTCCGAACCAGCTCAAAAGGTTCGACAAAGCTGCCACATTCCCTCAGTAAGACTTTCCAAAGCCCCAAGGAGCTACAGCAACGACGATAGGTATCTATTTGCTAGCCAAGATGGAGCGAAAAAATTGACTCAGTGCCTGCAAGACACAGAAATCTATTCAAAATCTGCCCCCGGCATAGACTAGAATCTTACCATAATATTGCTGACTAGAAATTTTCACAGACGGATTTTATACTTCGGCTCTATCACCCAACTCAAATATGTTGATAGTTATTTATTCCAGTATTAATGCCCAAGAAACTTTACCGCAAATTTATTTAAAGCTATAGAGCTGGTTAATTCCCACATAATCCTTTGCACATAAAAACTAAAGGCTTTGACTATTTATGTTTGGACCGTTGAAGGCCCCAGGCACTCAAAGCAGTAAACTTTGGTGTCTCATGCCCTACTAAGAATTTGTATCAGATAGATGTAAAATAATAAACCAAACCAAACGGTAACATAATATTGTATCCCTTTTAAAGCAACTACGAAATAGAAGAATCGTTGAACAACAGTTTATCGTACTGCATTACACTACCCGGTACCACCTACAATTACTCAGTTTTACCACTTTAATATTGACCTATCATCGTCTGTCCTAAACCCTCTAAAGCAATATCTTGCCAGTAAAACGGCTTTGCAGCCCTACCAGAACTAGCATAGGAATGTATTCATAATAACAACGTGCGTTGTAAGATCATTCAGTTTCATACAGCTTCACGTATCTACAGCAAACTTGTGTGGAAAGTTCAATTTAATTCATATATTATCTTTCAAAAATGAGTAATTACTTGGATGGGTATCAAGATGTGTTTTTAGGAAGATCGTCAAGAGAGAGGAATAATTGCTGTATAAAGTGTTTCTTCAGTTAAATATCAAAAGAATGAAGATATATGTTAATCTACAATTACTATTGCTGCTATGAGATAGTTTCACAGCCCAAAAAAATCTATGGCGCTTTTTGCAAAAGTAAATATGCATAACTTAGCAAGACTTAGTTTCATAATTCATCTTAATACTTGCATGAATAAAATATTGGTCTTAATATTACTCTTCACCACACTATATTGCTTTTATCCTATCTCTCGACCTATGACGTTTATTTTGAAAATTACTGTTGAGACCTAGAATATAAAATATTATTACGGGTGTCGATTGGCCTTATTTTACGTATACGTAAGGCTTGTTCGATGCAAAACGAAAGGTACGAAAGTGAGGTATTGATTCTTGTTGTTCTTGTTTCTATCTGTGAACACTGCGAACGTCCAGATCGCGGTGTTGGCTGAGTCATGAAGACAATGACTTGGCAACAGAGAGACGCACCGCACTAAGCGCCTAGTAGGAGGGCAAGACTGAACACCTGTACGCGGTGTCCTCTACGAACCTGGGAGTGAAATATTCTCCAAGAGCCAAGTTCTGTCAAACTTCGCAATACCGAACAAGTTGGCCCACGAGGCAATGATTCAAATTATTCCACCATATCAATCTTTCACTCCCAACGAAATCGATTCCTACCTAAACCTCATCAAGTTTACAAGTACGACCTAGTACATCCTAATCCCAATGACCACACCTCTTGTCGACTTTCTCTGGCCTTAGCTGGTCGCCAGATACACGCCCACGCCGATATTTACACCCGACGGAGGAAGCAAAGCGTGGCGCACAAATCTGGAAGACAATTCCTTGGGATGGATGTGAGAGGGATCAGGACAAGTTAATAAGATGATGCAGAGGATTGGATACAGTCTCGACGGGCGTGGAATTTTGAAATTTGGAAAGGAGTTTTTACAAATTGAGCTTTGTGCGTGCCAAGCCTTCGGTTGCGAGAGTGCAGGCGACACTATAAACGACGCCACGGTTGGATGGTGCGGTGGTACATCGTCTTGGCCGGTCTGCCAAGTAGAGTCTGAATAGCTTGGACACAAATCCCACTCGAGACAGTAGATCGCTGGTTCAAATCCAGCAAAACACAACCATATTTCTCGCGGCGCTGGTATGCATGGATGACGAAGGCATGCTTGGATAATCAAAAGTTTCGAAATTCCCTTTGGTGGGTACTAACGGAGGAGGGTCGACTGTTTGTGTAAGCGAACATACCTCATAGTCGTATTTGCAAATGAAATCCAGAGTATGAGTGTCTCTAACGTCAAAAGAGTCATCCCACATGTATACATAGCGCCGGTCATGTGTCATAGCTAGATAGTTGAATACACATTAAATGATTTAAAAAAATAAAAATAAAAAAAATAAGCGCCTAGTAAAAGACATACATTCCAACAACGGGATAAATAACGTATGGGTCAAAAACATCATTTTTGCCTGAAAGCTGCGCAGCTTTCCCACGCCGCCCGTATCTTCAATTTATTATCGTAATCATCATTATTTTATCTTCATTACCCTCCTTTCATCTTTTCGCTTTCCGTGCTCCAACATGGCGAGTTTGGGTGCTGGTGTGGGTAAATCCAGCGGTTTCGACGCGTAGCAAAATACGTCAATGGCCTCAACCAACAACGGCAGCGGAGCGCAGACAGCTTACAAGGATAGAAACCTCGGAATCCTGGGGAAACTACTAAAACAGTTTTGATTAATCGTGATGGGAGAGATGGATGAGGAGGACCTACCCTCAATGGAGGACGTGAACGAGGCCGTCAAGGCCTTCAACGCGCACAAAAGGGCCTGGACGGAAATATCCCAGAAGAAGTCTCCTATCGAGGAGAGGATGATGGCTTTAGAGGAAGTCGTAAAGAAAAGCTTCGCGGATCCCGCTCGGAAAGCTGCTCCAGCAGTGGTTTCGGGCGCGACGACACCAAGGAGTTATGTGTCGGTCGTGGCTCCCCAAATGACAAAAACAGCGGTACGAATAACAATCGACGGCGCTCAAAACTTGCAGCCACAAGAGCTGCTTTCAAAGGAAAAAGAGCACATACAAGGTGCATACGCAATTCGTCAAATACGGAGCAACGATACTGAGGTATTAGGCCAGTGGGCGTCCCAGAGAGACGCGGCGCTAAATATGCGACAACCAATGGAATTCAAAATTCTGCGGCAAGATTTTCAAGTCGAGGTCAACAGTGTCCCATTGTGGACACGAATTGAAGGGGGCAGAGATGCCAACAATTTTGCCATCATCAGGGAGATAGAGACGGCTACGAAGGCACGGATTCCAGGCTTAGTTATTAGTCGTAAAAGGTGGTTACACGACGGAAAGGAACACCAGTGGTCAAAGAAAAATGGCCGCACTCGTGGATCAATTGTGGTAAGCCTCCCGTCGAAGGCAATGCAGACAGAAGTGGTTCGAAACGGCCTTGTTACGAATGCCATGCTCTACACCGCGCAGGTGTGGTCACCAGGGTTCCAGCTAAAACAGTGTTACAACTGTAGTCAGTGGGGACACACGCAGGCGTCTTGTTGAAAGGCAGCTAGGTACGGTGAGTGCGCTGGCGCTCATCAAACTCGGGACTGTCCGAGGAAAAGGGTTTCTTGTGTGGACTGCGGCAAGGAGCACCGTTCGTGGCAGAAAGCAGCGTGTCGGACCTACCAGGTCTACAAGGGAAGTGTGGAGAAGGCTCGGATGGAGCTGTTGTCAAGAACGGCAGAAATATGGAACGAAAAATCTTCGGTGGCGCCAACACAAACAGTCAGACCAACTGATGATCAGGGATTTACTTTGGTCACCAGTAAAAAGGCTGAAGGACTCAAAAGAGGGCCGGGATAACTTTGCAAGGTAGTTGAAGCCCCAGTGGCACCAACTATCCCGACGACAGCAGCACCATTAGGGCCAACTCATCGAACACTTCGGCGACAAACACCGAATGAGGAGGCGCCTTCTCTTTTCAATTTTTCATAAGGTTAGTCTTATTGAATGGGGACTTAACGAATTCTAGGGAAAGTTTATAAAATTATGGTTGAAAGAAACGTCCTCACCATTAAGCCGGGTCGGTTCAGATTGGCAGGACATCGGGTTTTGTTTGTTGAAAGCTTTTTCCCACACCAAAGCGGCTTACAGTCTTCATGATTCTGTATATAGATACCACATAGGACATAAAACGAGACTAATTCAATTCAATTCAACGTATGGGTCACATATTCACCTGACTGTTAGTGGTTACCATTTAGGCTGGAAGTCTGCATGACATGTGTTATGGAAGATCCAGGTCACGTGATAGTGGCCTTCAGAAATTGATTGATTTAAATTTAAGTCTCTACTGAGTCCTAGACTGTGAAAAACTACCTAAAGATCTATCTAAATAGCTCTTTAATTCATAGGTTAATTTTAAATTTGAATATTACAATTATATGCCAGTTAATTCTGAGGGTCATGCCCTTTGTTCGGAAATTAAACAAGAGGCAGGGAGATAGATCGTCCGCTCCATTTAGGACACGAGTAAAGAACACGTGAAGAAGATATTAGTGTCGGCTCTACAGAGCTGGATCGCTCGTGGACTATCGATGATGTATATAAGTGTGATGGGCGATCAACAAAACAATATAGTAAAGGAATGGTGGCCGATTACTGTCTATTTTCTACATACATCTCGGAACTGTCCACCGAGGGGATGCTACTTAAGGTGTCCTAACTCCCAATGCGCTAACCTCACTATCTATTCTACTACATCATATCCTTGATATTCCGAGTGGGCTCGTCATAGCGAATCTGGGTCGTATCGGCCCATGATTCCATATGAGACTTGCTGCAACAATATCTTGTTTCCATATTTGTTGCAACCCTGTATTTGTATGGCCAAGTTGGACATCTCTCTAGATAGCAAGGCTAATGACGTAATAATGATAAGTGTCCGTGCGACAGTCACTAGGAGATAGGCGCAGCCTGTAACAATAAAATAGGAAACTTATATTTGTAAATTCATTAAGTCTTTATTAATATCACGAGTGTTATTTCATTTCAATGATTACAACCCTGAAAAGATATAGAGAAGAGAAGAGGTAGTGAAAGGCTGTCTTTGTAACAGTTTATTACTAGGATGGATGTATATTTTGCGGAACTTCTCGTAAAAAGTAGGCACGTTGTTAACAACAAAGAAAAAGTGTCCCACTAAAAGCAGCTTCAATAAATGTCTTTGCTGTCTCTCAATTTGGTAAGTATTGAAGTGTATAGCCCACTACTTAGTTCGTGGACTTATTGGTAGAGGGAAGCTTATGCAATGATGAAGGATAAAAGGATGTCAATTCGACTACTCTTCTAAACACAGGTACCAGACTCCTTTTAATCCCAATAGATAGCCCATGCAGGATCTCCTGTTAACAGCAGTAAATAACGCTAACACAGGGTATACGCAATCTCCGTTCGCCAAACACCAGTCGGTCGGGACTACTAATTATCGAGTCTAGTAGGATCGACATAGTATATCCCAACACAGAAATCATAGAAAACTCAACAACCAAACCCTTCATCAATTACTTCCATTAAGCATCACCTGACTCATCTCTGAACTCCATAATTTCAACATATGGCTCTCTAGTTTATCCAACCAATAGATAGGAAGGTTCGGTTGCGAGATGTCACACATGATGTAATTATTCTGGTATTGCATGTGAAGAGATTGTTCTGATATCATTTATTGTCAACAAGTTTATCTGGTCAGATATAGCTCTAACGTCGATGGTTCACTGAAACTTATATAAGTTGTTAATAATTAAGATTAGAAAATCAATGAATTCAAATGATATAATCCTTACTTTCCACAGCAGATTTCAGCGAGTAGTATTGTAAATGTTACCGATGCTTCCACAACGCCAAACCTCTATGGGTATCCTAGTACAACTCTATATCTCTATACTACATCCCTAGTCACTAAACAGTCTCCTAAGCTAAGCTTCCAAGATGCAGGTTGGACAGATATTATCAGCGTGAGATCGGACGAAGATCTCTGGAATGAAATCTGAACTTATTTCAGTCTTATAATCACTCAAAAGATCACACACTTGGTGATAGAAATAGAGACACGGAGTGTTGTGGACGTACGGGCCCTCTATTTCTTCTAAGTTCCCGACACGATCTCGTGTGTATTTAAGAGGTTGTAATAGGTAATATCGTAGCGCTTAAGGCTACCTATTGGATATATGAGCGGCTGTATGGCCTGGGCCCAAGGAGGTTATTGGGGGTTTTCTATGCCTAGATGGCGCCACGCTCGTTTATGCTGTGGCTTAGGCTACATGTCGCTTACACTTGTACTTGTAGCGCACATCTCCCACACTTTTAGCTTTAATCCGAATGTGACACTCTTTTAGTCAACTTCTACTTTCGTTCCATGAATATTGCGCCAATTTCTT